CTGGGGCTGAGACTTCAACTCAGATCACACACATATGCTATATTGGTCACACCCCAAACCTCATTTCTTTTTTCTGTAGTTTTATCTTCTAGATAAATCTATATATTCTCTAGGCCGAACCTGGAAGCACTGTTTAACTGTGGAGTCTTCAGAGTGAAAATGCTGTGATCGTCTGTAGAGAGCACTAAAACTGGTTGTGGCCTTGGTGCTTCTGACAGCAAACTACTTGTTCTACTGTTGCTTTAAACTTAGATACCCAGAGTAGCAGAATTCCTGCCATCTGCTTTGGCTTCCTTTTCTTCATTGACCGCAAGTGGAGCTCTGTCCCCATCCATTCCTGCCCTGTGGTCAGCTGAAGATTTAAGGAGAGGCGGACAAGCAGGTTCACTGGATCCTGTGTGCATGTGCGCTCTTGATTTAGGATCTTTATGTCAGAACTGGCAGGGCATCTCTGTGAGTTCGAGGCCAGCCTGGTCTACAGAGTGAGTTCCAGGACAGGCTCCAAAGCTCCACAGAGAAACCCTATCTTGAGAGAGGGGCAAAAACCAACCAACCAAACAAACAAACAAAAAAAAAAACGGCTGTCTTAGCTCCAGGCCTGTCCTTAGTATTAAACAATTAGAGTACTTATTCTTTAAGAACAAGAAGCCAGTTACTCCCTCTTTTTCACCTGTAACAAGTCATACTGGTATGGTTCATCCTTACTATATCAGCCATGGGTTTGTTTGCATGCATGTGTTTTCTGGGATAAGATCTCATAATTTCTTTTCTTTTTGGTTTGTCAACACAGGGTTTCTTTGTGTAGCCCTGGCTATCCTGGAACTTGCTCTGTAGACCAGGCAGGACTCGAATTCACAGCGACCTAGGCCTGCCTCTGCCTCTTGAGTGCTGGGATTAAAGCATGTGCCACCACTGCCCAGCTGATAGTTTCTTCTTTATTGGTCTCTGAAAAAGCATTGGCTTTATCCTCTAGCAAAGAGAACTTGTGGGCTACTCTTTGCAACCTCCTGGCAGCTTACCTGTGTGTATCCAAGCCTTTCTGTGCTCAAGGGTCAGGAATGCAAAGAGGGTTGGCATCATATTATGGGATAGTGGAAGGGCCTTGGCCAGGTGTGGGCAATGAGTCTACCCCAGCACACCCACTCTCCACAGTCCACTCTGATACACTGCACAGTAGAAGGTAGGAGGTGAGAAGACAGGAAGGGCTGGCTTCACAGGAGACTAGACTGAGCCCTCAGAGGGGCTGGTAGGGAAGATAC